CGGAGGAGGTGGAGGGAGGAAAGATAGAGAGAGAGAGAGAGAGAGAGAGAGAGAAAAACTGAGCGCCGTTTTCATTTTTGGCGAGTTCCACTGGGAAAGCCTAGTCTGGGTATCAAAAATTAAGTTCTCATGTTTATTTTACAAAGTGCCATTTTTTTTCTTGTTGTGTTTGGTGTTGTTGCTTGTTTTAAGGGGGGGAAAAAAGAGAGGACAGACCTCGGAGAACCTCTGCACGTCCTGCGTGAGCGTCCCCACGCGGCTCCAGTTGTAGTAGTTGAGGAACTTGACCACGGCCGGGTTGACTGCGTTGTCCGAGGGCACTGTGCGGAAGAAGTTGGGGTACTTTTTCTTGTCCGCCAGCACCGGGGTGGTCGCCGCAAAGGACAGCTGAAAATCACAAAAGATACACGCTACACTTTCAGTCCTTCAGATGCATAGTAAATATTTTTAGAGTTGAGGAGACTTCAGCTGGTTCTGTGAGTGTGTTTTAATGCGGCTTTCAAAATTGGACAAATTTTGCAGTACTGGACCGATAAAAGTGATTCCCCCCCATATCGGGCCAGTAAATATCGTGCATCCCAAGATAGAAGTGCTGATTGAGAATGATGCAGTTCATCATTCCTTGCTATTTTGCTTCCTCTTTCTCGCTCTCATTCTCTCTTCGCCATGCACAAATTCCACCAATAGGTCACCAGCGTTCCCTTGAGCCAAAAACAGCTGTAATTAATTTCTGCAATGAGATTAGGCATGGGCGCACGCACATGCGCACGCACACACACACACACACACACACACACACACACACACACACACACACACACACACACACTATGGAACATCCATTTTGCACAAGGACAAAAGCACATCACACACTTTATCCGACTCATTTGCATCGGTTTTATTTGTTTTCACAAACCGGTGGCAACTTCTCGGAATTGAAAGCAAACGGTGGATGTTTTCAAGAAAGTGATGACTCGCTTCGTTAATTGTACAAAATATTTTAATTGGGTATCCAGCAACGTCAGATTCTTTTTATTAAAAATAATCGACAAATTCTACATATTTGAATAAAACATACAAACTATTCAAGTATGACATGTTGTATTGCATGTCTAATTTTATGTCATTAAAACTAGGGATAGAGGAAGAATGATTAATCCATGAATCAACAACTAATTGATTTTTCAATTGATAATTATTTTTGATGATCGAATAATCTTTTAGACACCTTGTTAAAATTGAAATTGTCCAAAACCTTGGAATTTCAGTTTTCTATTGTCAGTTTCCTGTAGTCCTCCATGAAAACTGACAGTTATATATGTTTTTTTTCCTCCTAAGTAAGACATTTGCAAACACTGTTTTTATTTGGGAAAACACTCATCCACATTTTTGCCAATTTTCTGATGGAGCACACAGACCAAACTTTTAGGTGTATCGTAATTAACTTACGTTAGTGCATTTTCGACCCCGCCAATATGAAAGTGTCCTGTTCTTGGATCAAGGAATATATATTTTTTTTTTTAGGTGTTTTATTATCCAATTCATTAATTAGTCAAATTAAAATAATCAACACATGAATCTATTACTTAAAAAATTGCTGACAATAGTTGACCACAGTGTCAGGAAAGTAATATAAATATGAATGTTATACATATACCGTATTTTTTTTAATGACATTTCTGTGTATAGCTAATATTTGATCTGAAATAACAAATCAGTATGTTTTGCTTTCGGTGATCCATGTGCGCTAATTTAAGGAAGCATGTGACTCACCGTGGGGTTAATTACACACCGCGAGGAGCAGAGGAGGCTGTGATTCACGATAGCGATCTACTGCAGCGGCAACGTCGTTACAGGGTCCGCCGCACCGCTTTCCGAAAAAGAGTTCAAGCGCCTCCTGACTGTGATCTTCTCATTATGCGTCTCTCTTGGTGAATCACAGCGACGGCACCTTTTCATCTCGCACTCATCGGCAGACGCGGTTATCACTGCTGGCGCTGTCGAAAATGGACTTTTACTGAAGGAGTCCGCAGAAAGGAAAAAAACAAACAAACAAAAAAAAACACGACGGAACCGAAGACGTTTTTGGTCAGATGTGATGGCTATCATCCCAACACAGGTGCACGCGAGAAATCTAATGCTATGAAAATTTAAAAGCGTGATTACAGTGAGCTTAATGAGCAGTAACGTTACAATACTGCAAATAGAAATGTCAGCAAACAAAAAATAAAGACACAAACATGCCTCAAAAGCAAGTATATTTAGCAAACCTATTTTTGCACATTATAAATAGTAAACATGAGAGCCAACATACGAACTAGCTACGAGCTAACTAAATGCAAATGTCAAGACGACAGTGATCGGGACCACGGAAATTACTCCCCCCTCAAAAATTCTTTTTTTTTTTCTCATTTTCTTTGCTCAAACTTTAAATATGTATGTCTTGTACAGTTCTCATCTTTATCCGTTTGTTCAGCTAAATTTGTCTTTTTTTTACAGTTTGTTCTGTACTGTTGCACTCAATACGACTTAAGTAGATTGCGTCTTCTCATGTAGAAACTGGTTTGTGTTGCTCGATAAATTTTTGCGTCCTCTACAGTTCACTTCTTTCTCGTTTGTTCACTCTTCTGCTAATTTTTTCTTCTTTTACAGTTTACTAGCTTCTTCTTTTCATTTGCTATTGTGCTTGTATGTCTTGTCCACTTTGCGTCTGCTTCTTTCTCCGTTTGTGTTGTGAAAGATGTCGTCTTCTATGATTTGCATCTTTAATGGTTCGGTTCAAAGCCATAACGATGATTTCTTTAAAACCCAAAATGAGCTGCTCAACAGGTGAGGCCTGCAATAGGGTGTGATCCATTAGGACGTGCAGGGAATACGTATGAAAGATGATGGCTCCAATAGCCATAGCCATCATCTTTCTTATGCATTTTCGTCATAAAAGTCCGGGTTGAAATCATCATCTTTCTTATGCATTTTCGTCATAAAAGTCCCAGCGGGTTGAAACGGATCTTTCTTCCATCCTGCCAGGAGCCTCCATGACCTTGTCGTGAAAAAAGGCGGAGGGTCCTCACAAGCGCTTTTAATTACCTTCGGAGTAATGGGGAGGAGGCAGCCGGGCCCGAAGCGAGACATGGGAGGTTCGTACGTGCCGACTATGAAGTCCTCTTCTTACATTAGCTGCCGTGACGACTATTTTTGGCCGTTTCTGTCGGGGCTTTTCAGCGTTAGCTTAAGATTCCGCTGCTCTTTAAATAAAACATCAGAGTTCCTTCACACTGGATTTGATAGATGGTGCTGACAAAAGACTGCAGTGTTTGGCCTTTATGTTCCGAAAGGAAATGGTGACACCTCAATCTAAATGCCTCAAACTAACAATCGATTCATCTTCAGTCAACAGTTCATTTCTATCAGTAAAATACTGCATAAGAGCACCTTTCAGTTGGTTTTAATGGCACTCTAATTGGTTTGAACCCCTTGATGTGGTTCAGTCGCAAATTAGCCAGTTAGTAGTTAGTTAGCTAACAGATAAGTAAATAAACTCTTGGGCCAGAGTACATATACAGTATTTTGCCCATAGAAGCCCCTTTCATGCTGTCTTTCTGCTCAATTGGGACTCTGAGAACTGTGTGAGCATGTAGCTCGGTAACCAAGCTGGTGACTTGTAATTTAGCTAACTAGTAGCTAGTAAGCCAACGTAAATTAGCTATTTGATAGATAGCCAGGTTAGTGTGGTAGTAGTTTGCTAGTCAGTTAGTGTGGTAGTACCTTGTTTCAAAGGGGAGTGTGACCGCAACTAATCAAGCAAATCAAAAGTTTGCAAGTGAGTCATTACTAAGCAAGTTAGAGAAATACTTACTAGTTGCGGTGTGAGGGAACTAGTTAGTCACAGGTTAGTGGGAGAGCAAATTGTCATTCAAAGTACTGGGCTAATGAGCCATTTGTTAGTCAAACAAAGTGAACTACTAGCTAAACAGCCAAGGAGAGTGAAAATTAATCTAGTTTGCCAGGATAATGAGCTAGCAGCTAGTTAGCTAGCTAGTAGCTTGTTAGCTAGTGAGCTGTTTAATTTAGCTCGTTAATTGGTGAATAAATAAAGTCAAAACAGCCCCTTTTATGCTGACTCTCTGCCAAAGCAGCACACCAGAGACATAACGGTATTTATTCCTGCGTCTTTTATAAATAAGTGCCTTCAGATAATTACAGGATGGGCTGGAGATTGCTTTTGACACAAAGGGGTGGAGTGAATCTCTGGTGTTAAACTTGAAACTTTGGTTGTGGCCCCTTATATACATTCCACCTTTGATACTAAATCGTACAGGACAAAAAACCGAGGGAAAGAAATCAGTGAAAACGTTTAGTTAGATGGCTAGAAAATGAGCTAAAGCACCTTCTATTAAACAACTAGGCAGCTTGTACCTGAACAATGAGGCGACGTGATCTGGCGGCATCGATCGGTCGTAGCGGGGGCTCCGTTCCAATCGCATCCGCCGAGGCTAACTGTGCGGTTTGCCTTTGAATAATGAAGTGGCTGTCATGGATAATAAATGAAGCGACACGACAGCCATGTTTAGACCGCCAGGCTTGCTAGTAACTCACTGGAAGAAGACGAACGTTGAGCTGTACTCTAAGAACTATAATCTTTGGGTATGAATATCGATAAGCGCTTAAGTAGAAACAGTGCAGTCGATGTAACAACAAAACATTTTGAACGCGCTCAAGACAATCGGCTCGTCTTCCTCAAGGGGGCAAGAAATCCAAAGTCGTCCAATGCCGACGGAAAAAGTAATTCCTTGTGGCTTATCGATGAAACATGATGGGCCACAACGATCGAACACGAGGCGATGAATTATCAGTGTTGAACCGTGAAATATCAATTATTGCCTGATGATTACAAATCTGAGCAGAATTTAAATCGGGAAATATTTCAGTGCTTAAAAGCATTCAGAATGAGGAAAAACACAATTATAGACTTGAAACAGATAACTTACAAAGCTATTATGACATTGACTTTGACATTTTACAAACACTTTGACCCTCAAAGGCCATCGGACTCGGGGAAACCGAGAGAAATTGATATCATGTATTTAATCACAGTTCTGTCTTCTAACCTAATTCTGAAAGCTTCTCCAAGTGGGCGCTCCCATGGCGCACCAAATGCCGCATACTGAATATTGAATGAAGCCCAGGACCACCATCGTGCTTTCCATCCTTAGACTGCACCGAGGGTCGCCGCGCCCCAGAAAGGCAACAGATAATAGACACTGAGAGGCTGATCGGTAGAGACATGAATACTTCAATTAGTAGGCCTTAGTCCTATCAAGTACCACTTGAACAGCAAGTACCAGAATCTATAATATAATGATGTATTTTTACACATTAGATTCGAG